CTCGTTTTCATGTCAAATACTTACTCATCTTCTGTGCTTAGTATAGGGTTGAAAATTACTTTGTTATTGAGCCTAAGTTAACAGCAAGAAACAAATTCGTCCAGAAAAACATGGGAATACAATCTTTATCTGCCCCTGACATGCTAAAATAAGTTAACATGGAAACGAGGTCATTGGTTAAAAGAGAATAATCGGTAAGATCTATTATTCTGTCAACCGGTTTTTGGCGACAGAATAACCGACTTTGATTCAACTGACGACTTGCGCTTTAGAAAAATTTTTAATCTGGGAATAACAAAGGATATTTTCGGAAAGAAGTTATCAAAATTAGAAAAACTGCAAAATTTGGTTGCGAAATGTTGTAAAATACGGAAAATATACCTCTGCGAAATTGGCAAATTTGTATACATTTCTATTACGTGCGGAAAAGAACAACTAATTATTGGCAACTAATTTAGTTACCAATTCACGCTCGTAATACAATATACAAATTTGCTAACTTTGAAGGGCTATATTTTCCGTATTTTACAACATTTCGCAAACAAACTTTGTAATATTACTAATCAAAGATGTTCTTTCCAGCTGTGGTGAGAGATTTCGTTGTTCTTACTTAGATTAAAATTTAGTCTAAAGCGCAAGTCGTCCACCGCTTGCAGTGTGGTCATTGCTAGTAAAACTGATGCTTTCATACCAGTGTATTGGTCCCAGTCTGTAGATAACGGGACCCCAGCGTCTTTCACATCCTCTTTCTTCAATTCACCATTAATAAATATCTGAGCTGTGCCCGTCACAACAGTATAAGTGACCAGAATATGAGTCCAGATATTCGGGATCAATACTGGACTGTCTGTAACCACGCTGAACAGTGTATTGCCCAGCGAATTTCGATGAAACCAAGTTAATTTCCCATCTTGAACTTCTAACCGATACTGAACTAAAGGAAAAGATGATGGCCTAATGGACCTATTTCCTAACGAACAAAATTTTTAACTACACAAGTCTAGACAAACATATTATCACAGCTTGAAAGAGCATCACAAAATTAGTAATATTCCGAAGTTTCGTTGCGAAATGTTGTAAAATGCGGATAATATAGCCCTGCGAAGTTTGCCGTTTTTAAGTCGTTTTGTATTACGCACGCGAAATTGATACCGCGCTTTCTGAAAAAAATGTATCAATTTCCCGCGCGTAATACAAAATGACTGAAAAACGGCAAACTTCGCAGGGCTATATTATCCGCATTTTACAACATTTCCCAACGAAACCTCGGAATACTGCTAATTTTGTGATTTTCTTTCAAGCCGTGATAAACTTTTTGTCTAGACTTGTCTAGATCAAAATTTTGTTCATTAAGGTAATAGGTCCATTAATTCATCTCACATAAAAAAGTTGTTCCAGATCTGAAAACAAGTGGTAACAAGGTTGTTGTCAATCTGATATCAGGATATGTTCGCACTGCTTGTTCCCAGTTGTTGTGACAAGTCTGGAACACATTGTTATCACATTGGTACAACCTTGATGACGGTAACAGACTTGCTACAAGTTGTTCCAACAAGACCGATACAGGCTGTTCGTAACAAGTTGCTACGAGCTTGTTGTCATCAACTTGTTACGTGCAGACGATATCAGACTTGTTGGAACAACTTGTTGCGAGTCTGTTGGCCTCATCAACCTTGTTACAAGATGATAACAACTTGTTCAGGACTTGTGCTAAGTTAATTTTCCCCTACTTACGTTCTTGATGTTTCGAATGACCACCAATGGTTTCGAAAAGATGCAAGAGTCCATTAACCTGTAACAACTTTATCATGAATGCTATCGTGATCTGTGCCTGAGGGATTCCACGAAATCCTTTGCCTTGTATATTAATATTTCCACCCAACAGTTGCGCACAAACTCCACAGCTGCCGTCAACTTTGGTAACGGTCGCGCCATGTTCTAACGTGGCATTATTGTTCTGCTTAGAATTGTCTAGAATCCGTGCGCCGATGTACCGATCAAAACCAAGGTACAAGATACAGTCTTTGTTGCCTGAAATGAGATGTAGGTATTATTAAATTTAACCGGAACGCCCTGTAGTC